GTGTTTTTTGGGACACATTTCAAGAAGTATTTTTTCAGAGAGAGAGAGAGAGAGAGAGAGAGAGAGAGAGAGAGAGAAGAGAGAGAGAGAGAGAGAGAGAGAGAGAGAGAGAGACAGACAGAGAGAGAGACAGAGAGAGACAAGGAGAGACAGAGACAGGGACAGAGAGAGACAGAGAGAGTGTGGATAATCGCACTGAATTTTCTTTTCATGCCGACATGTCGTACAGGAGACGCATGTTCGAGGAACACGCAAAAACCACAAGTGTAGCTGTAAAAGAGCTGCAAGGTTTTCGTTAGGCAAGAGTAAGCCAAGTTCGGATGCATCCGAGATGACACGGGAGAGGGAGTCCGAAGCAAACAACAAATGAGCGCACTAGACACAACTGTGGGTGTGTGTGCGCGCGCGCGCGCGCGCGCGAGAGAGAGAGAGAGAGAGAGAGAGAGAGAGAGAGAGAGAGAGAGAGAGAGAGAGAGAGAGAGAGAGAGACAAAGTTGAATCTTGAAATCCTTTTTCGAAAATTGAGGACCAATCATACAATGTTCCTTTCTTCTTGAGTGTCAGCTCAATTCAGTTTGTGTCACTTTGTAGCATCAATCGGCGCGAAGGGTCAGACGGACCATCAAATGTATAAAGAGGCCCTTGTGTTGTATTTTGTTCTCTGTGATGCCTCACAACATTCAAAGTGAAAATGCATAGATGAGTGTAGACGACGGGGAAGGTTCGAGAGAGAGGCAGAAAAACATAGAGGTAGTTGGAGTTCGGATGCATCCGAGTATGCGGGTATAACATCACACCACACAAGACACAAAATGACGAATGCGAGAAAGTCAATCACGAAACAGGCGCCCCAACAATGGGGACGTTCGTGAGAATTGAAAGCCAATGAGAAAGAACAATATTGTCGACGACAAACACACCGAGGACATGACAATTTCACCCGGAGCTATCCTGGCAGTGACAGTCAATTCTGCTCTGAACCAAACCGAGAACACCCACCAGTTGCTCACGGAAAAAATGAAAAGGAACAAATTTCGTCCGGAGAATAACGAAATGTTCTTCTATATCAACCCTTCTACACTATATGATCAGCAAAAAGATATACGCTTACCTACCAACATCGCAAATCGCCAAAGCTAGTCTAGCTCTGATAGAGGAGATGTGTCTATGGAAGAAACCAAAAGGTGGACGTAAACCTCTCGCCAAACAGGAAGCGAACATCAACATGAACACCCCACAACTAGCCCCGTCGTGCTGCCGAGGGACACCTTTCACGCTGACCTCGCGAGCGAAGTGGTCGAAAGTGCGACTATCACCGACGTCACCTGCCACCGTGTTCAAAAATTTAACAAATTTATCTAAAAGTGCGGAGTATCAGTCATCTTTGGATGACGAACACGAGAAAGAATCATAGATTTCCAAACCACGTCTGGAGAAGTCAATGGCCTAAAGGCTCCAGTGTTCGTCGTCCTTGTGCACGGGTGCCAAGACGAGGTCATGAGACAGGAGGTCCACATCTTTAGCCCATCTGCTAACAGCTGCCGGACCTCGCAGAAGCAGTGTAGAGGCGAAGAANGGTGCCAAGACGAGGTCATGAGACAGGAGGTCCACATCTTTAGCCCATCTGCTAACAGCTGCCGGACCTCGCAGAAGCAGTGTAGAGGCGAAGAAAGAGTTAAAGGTGTACATCTTCTTGGTAGCAGCACTCCGGCCGTAGTTGTCAAGTAACATCGCCATGTAGAAATTTACGACCTCATCGTTGAGCTCCCCGGATCCATCCACAAGTGCGACGATGTCCTTGACAGATACCTGTAAATTGTGCGACGACAAACGCGCGACGATGATAGTGAGCGGCAACCGGGAGCAAGTAACGTCTTCAAGGACTGCTCTTCCATCTCGAGGAAACCCTGTTCAACAAACACCCGCAGCACAAAGGATGGGGCACTATAAGAAAATGTCGTCCTAGCGGCCATGGTCCGATGAACCGCTACTCTGTGGCCCGAAACGTTCACGCATAACATCACCCCTACTTCTGGACCTTCCACACACAGTTGATTCTAAACTAGCACTGTCCTTCTATATATCCCTGCAAGCCTCGAGAAGGAATTCCTTGCAGTCTTTTTCGGCAACACCCGCTGCCCCTGCAACGAGTCTAGCGCGAGGGCCCCATACGGGCACGACAACCCTTCTGGGAGGGCCCCGAGGTTTAGTGTCCCCAGGAGACGAATTAGTGACATCGCGACGACCAGTACCTCCCTCAACCAGGACTGACAACCTGGCAAGGGCAGGCGGCTCCTGCAACATGTGTGTTTGTCCACACGCTCGTCGACCTGTACAAGAAATAGCCACCCAGACAGTTAAGCAGGAGATCAACAACACAACTTCGCAAGAGCAACCAAGCAAACAGCACCTCACGAAGCACATCGTCACAATCCAGTTGGCGGTCGCCTACACACCTCCCCGAAATCGACGAAGCAAACAACACTTCACGAACGGGTTAACGAGCGTGAAGCAAGTAGAGGAAGTCAGTGCTTACCAGGCTTAGCTTCCACGTCCCCAGATAAATTCATCCCCATCCCGGTGGCGGAAATCCTCCACGTCCGCGACGGGTAATTTTAGTCTGTCCGTCTCCTGACAAAGAGCGTCGACGTCCACAACATCGACAGGTCGGGTTTTCTCGATCGCCACTGTGTCGTATTGTGTTGTGCTCAAGGTCCCATGGATGTCCAACAACACCTCTCCCCCCCTTAACTTCTTGTCCTCGTACGCTGTGTCTTTATCGTCGTCACTCAAATAGAGAAATCTATCTCCAACAGCGTCAGAGGACTTCTTCATAACGTCCTCTCCCATCACCTCGTCGTGAAGGCCGGAGTACAAGGGGTTGTCGTATGCCGGCTGAACTTGTTGCTCCATCTCGACGTCGTTGAGTGTCGGATCAATCCGGTCGTCGGCGAAATCGTCCTTGTCCAAAGTCGTCAGAAGTCGACAACCGTCAACGTCTGCCAGTTGAAGTCCTTCATCCGTGTGGCTCAGATGAATCCGAATTACGGTCGTCTCCAAAGCTGCATCAGGGAGGGACAAGCTCACAGGGCCCTGGTTCGGATTCATCTGAGCCCCCACAGTTTCCAACAGCGACGACGTGTCCGCTTTCACCGGAGAGTCGCTTAAGACTGCTAACTCAGCGCGTACCGTCACTAGGCATTCGGCTCTGAGTGTGCGGGGCTCGACATTGAAACTGGTCGCTAACTCACCCTTAGTCGGACAGCCTGCCTGCAGCTCCTTATGGACTTCCATGCACAGCATTACGACGTCCTGACATCGATCGTCTGTCATGGCGGACACATCTTCCCGGTTCGGATGAATCCGAATTTCACCGCCAGGGTTTTCGAAAACCCGGACCACCCGTTCGAGTTCCGTAGACCGCTGTGCTCTCTCGACGGTACTGGCTTCCCGGTTCGGATTAATCCGAACTTCCTTTTGAGGCGAAACCGAACATGGGTCGAGCTTGTCACTGCCGAATCCGTGGTATGTTGTCGTCTCGCTTCCCAGAAGGCACTGAGTTTCTGACGACGATGTCGTCTCCGAGGTTCGGATTGATCCGAGACAATCCGCCAACCGTTTTTGGAGCTGAGCGAAACAAGTTCCATTCTTTGCTACAACTGCCCCGCCAACAGTATCGGTAAACTGTGTTGCGCTAGTCGAGCTAATCACAGGGTCCTGCTCGCCAGGCCGCATAATCCACCCAGGCCTGAAGTCGTTCCCCGTCTCCATTGAGGTGTTGCCTGTTACCGCCGGAACCCCACCGTCCTCATCGCAATCGACATCGGACCCCTGCCCGTCTACTCTGTGATGCTTTGTCTTCTCTCCGCTGCGAGGTTTTTTCTTCTCCCGACTGCCCTTTTTCCCCTTTCCGCCGCCCGCGTGCCCCGGAGACCGCTACTTCGTCGAACGCTGTTCATTTCCACCACCGGTACCTCGTTGCCCACCGCCTTCACCATCCCCTTCGCCGTCCTTTCCGCGAGACTTGCGCTTCACAACTCCTGCCGGCAGGGTGACCGCAGGCAACTCCCAACTCACTTGGTTAAATGACGGGCTTGACGGAAGGGCGTAGAACGCGGACAATACTTCCAACCATTTATTTGACAGCAAGAAATCGAACAACGTTTCCCCGTATGCGCGCAGAGCCGGGTCGTCCTTACTTCGTCGATTGACCTCACTTAATCTCTCCAATACCGCATCGTAGGCGCGGGATTTGAATGTATCGAAGTCCCAACGATCGTCATATATCCACCTTCCACTTACGTCCCTCGCAGCCACTGCCCAGTCGCCGTCGAGAAGGACTGGTTGGAAATGGTCTGGGTGCCACACGATATCATGGCCCCAATCTTCGGCTGTAGAGAAGGTGTGTTTGTCGCCCATGTGGTAGGGAGTTGCAGGAGTCGTGAGATGCGGATGGTCCAAAGGAACAGGAGTCATCTGCCATGGCCAGCGGGAGGTAGTATCGAAGTTTCTCAGCCCATTCCTTTCTTTTCTTTTCTTCCGTTGACAGGTTCCACAAAGGCGTGTACGGTGTCTTCTTCATAGCCAACGCCATGAACTGCACCCACTTTCGCACCTCATCCTTTTTCTTCGACGCATTGCCGAGCACCACACGCGATTTGCCTTTAATTTTTCAGATATTGCAAATGTCCCGCATAGACAAAGCCTGCAAGCGCGGTGGATTATTCTTGTCTTTCATGTTGTCTTCGCAACTGACAATGCCTGACATGGGCGTAGCCGTCGAACTCGTCGTCAGGGAAGTAGATCGGTCTGAACGGCCATTTACAGAAGTTGTAGTACTCAAACACGGGATGGTCTTTCACCTTCATCGCCGCCCTTGCGTTATGCTGTCCACACACATGATAATACCAGTATTTCTCCGGTTGTGAGCTGTCGAAGATAGCAGGCAGCACGCGTACAGCAGGCTCGCCCTTCTCTGGAGGCGCGACGATCGGAGCGAGAACGAAAATGGGCTTCGTGTATCTCATGTCTTTACGTTCGTAGAAGTCGATCATAGCCGCCGCGATGGTATCAACGAGGAATTCGTCCAAGGATCGGTGGTTGTACGCGTCTTCTCAGTCTGGAATAGCCAATATTCTTTCGGGATGGATGTGCAACACGACAACCCTCTGCACCCCTGTCTTCATCTCGAGGAAGAACGCATTGTCGAGGTTAAAGGCGTTGAGGTTAATCTCCACGTCGCCATCCCCCTCCCCGCTGTCGCCCTCATTTGCTTTCTTCCCCCTCGATGATTTCGACCGTTTCCCGAAAAACTGACCGGTTCTTCGCCATGTCGACGAGTCTTTTGGCGTTTCATCCCCACCTCCAACCCTTTTCCTCTTCTCAACGGAACCGCCCTCTCGTGTTGTTGGCGTCCGAGCACTCCCTCCTACCTTTYTCTGCCTTTTCAGAGCACCTASTCCCTCTCGCTCTTCCTCATCCGGCAAGTTGCGCTTGCCTCCCGACTGAGTCTTTTCAGCCGATCTCTCACGGAACAGCCCCTGCTCGGACACCTCCTCCTCACCGGCGACGTTCCCACTTGCTTCTCGTTCCTGGCTCAACTCTGTCTGCAGTTGCGCAGGCGCAGGTCGGGCCCGGTGAGTCGTCTCATCTGACCCACGCACCTCTCGAACCTGCTGACCACCCGCTCGATCTCCAGGCGAAACCTCGGCCACCTGCATGCCATGAACGAATGAACCGATCCTTTCGACCAGACGACGAGGAGTCGTCGATTCTGAGCCCTATCGCAACCGTTCGCCATCGCCGCCTCCACGTGGCATGGGCTCCCCAAGCAAACCTTGGCGGCGAGATCCATGCAAGCACGGTTTCAAAGGAGCACGCGGATGGTCGTCCTCCGAGTCGTCTAACATGCCCACCTCTTGAACAGGAGGCGTAGTTGGCAGGCCACCCTGACCTCCCATCCTCCTTTCAGAGCACTCTCCCCCCGCGAACCCAACAGGACCACTGATCGATGTCCCAGGTCCGACATCCACGGCATTGATAGAGGTACCAGATCTCGCCCACACCTTGAGGAAGTCTGTCACGTGAACGGCCACGTCGTGCCCCGGCGCTAGCGGGACAAAGGACGGCAAAGACATCGCATGCCGGCCGTACCCGCCGAACATCCTCCCGACAACCTTGCATCCCTTTGTGATGTCGTCGACGGTACCATCACTTCTGAAATGCTTCCGCAATGTAAACTTGAAATTGTATTCGCCTTCGTCGACCCACTGGACGATGGACCCTGCGAGACGCGTTCTATCGGCGCGAACGGCGACGAACAAGAGCGGCCCGCACTGTGGTTGCAACGGGTCGAAGCCGTCCTGGCTCGCCCCGTCCAAATACCAGACACGTTTGCTGTAGTCGCACCACAAGTTTTCAGCCCGTCGTTCTTCCTCCCCACGGCCACCTCCCCGACTCGTTTCCCTTGCCGGCGACAACGTCGTCCCTCGACGCTCCTCTCCATGCGGGGCGGAACCACCAGCGGAGCGGCTTCGTCCGTGTGTAGCCATTCCCTGAAACACGCGGAAGAAATGAACACATGTGCACTTAGAACACTCAGCACGTCCTAACATCAACCATGACCCACAACACGTATTCTGTTATCGATCACCCGGACCCCAAAAAAACGAAGTTCAGTCATAGTTAGACGACAGTGGTCCACACGTTTGCACGTTTCGGATGAATCCGAGGCATCGTGAGCCATCCTCGTCACACTACCCTTAAGAGAACGAATGGTCGAAAATGAAGACCGCGGGATAGATCGGATACATCCGAAGTAGGCGCAGTCGAAAGACCGACGTCGCATAGGCACCTGCACCGGGAAAAGCAAAACCTCGCTAGAAGGCGCTAGAACGCTGATACGGCAGACGAAGACGTGCACCCCATGGTGATACGTTATCATCCGAAGTCAACAAGCGGAACTTAAGAGGAGGCCATCGGCATGGCGTGTTTTCGTCAATGACCTGTGTGCATAGGGTGGACCCTATCTTGTCGGAGGTGTGGTTCGGATTAACCTGAGACGGGGACCGGTGGATGGACGGCATGGTCTGTTGACAGCGTGTGATTTCGTCGTTCACGTTTATCAGAACGTGCAACGTCGTAAATACCGTCTGAGCATGTGACAAATCCAAACTTGTCGTCGGTGTGGTTCGGATTAATCCGAACCTCGCCGAGGTGCCTCGGTTTGTGGTCGCCCCGTGAGTTTTAGTGGGTTGTGGCTCGGATGCAACCGAAATTAACAAGGGTGGCTCGGATACGTTAGTTGTTGCGCCACCAGAGGATGGTATGGACAGGGTGGGTTGTCCTCCTCCTGGTTGGTCAGACATGTCGCCGTCGACAATACCCTATGAGCATCAGATCGCTCCGTGTCCTGTCTTGTGTCCACGTCAGCGGAAGGGTTCCTCGCGAGGATTGGCTTACGCGAGGTTTGATAGGGTTTAAAAATTTGAATTCACGTTCGCTCTTAAGTGCGATCACAGATCAGTAATCCCAATGCACTAGCAGTCTTCGGATTGTTGATCTGTGATTGCGCTCAAGGGAGAACAACCTGGAATCGATTAGGCGACTGTCTGTGTCTTCGAATCTGTTGTAGCAGTCTTCGGATTACTGATCTATGATTGCACTCAGGGGGGACCAACCTAAGATCGGTTGAGCGACTGTCTGCGATACACAAAGATTGGAGAAAGGCAGAAAACCCGCATAGACACGGAAGGGAGACTAAGATCGATAGAGACGTCGACAAGGAGAGGAGGCGCAGCGAGAGAGCCTGTCTTTATCTCTCTTACCGTCCATATGCAGATCCTGTGGATGGTGTTGTCTTTTTCAGGATTCGCAATGTGACCCATTTAAAAAACCGCACACAAGAAATATAAGAAAAAATTGTGCGTGTCGGCGAGAGGAAGAGTGACGAAAAATGTGAAAAATTTGACGAATACAGAGGACAATTTATGGATACAAAACCGAACGCCGAGCGAACTGCACGACGCGACTTACGCGGAAAGACGAATAAACAAACCGAGCGCTATAAAAAATAATTCGGCGAGAAGAAAGTCCATCTACAATCCAGAAGAGAGACGATTCGTGAAAATCCATATTTTCATGTTCGACAACATACGACCAAAAACCTTATATCGCAGTTCGTGAGAGAGAAAACAAATTGACGACACGCGAGTAACACTTCAAGAAAACATCTGAAGCGACGACACAATCTCGAAGCGTGTGTCGCAACATTCTCGAGCTACATTCGCGGTTCCCGTTTCGTTGGTGACCACTCGCCCCGATCAGATGGCACACTCACACGTCCACGTGTCAGCTCCTGCATATGCGTGGCCATGCTGATGGATGCGGGGCTCTATTCGACAACATTCCTTTGTCGCATAGAGCCCCGCATCCATCAGCGTCGCCACGCTTGTTCAGGACGTGACACGTGGACGTCTGAGTGTGCCATCTGATCGGGGCGAGTGATCGCCAATGAAACACATGCATTCTTGCTCCCGAAACTCCTTCATCTCGTCCCGATCAGATGTCACACTCACACATCCACATGTCAAGTCCTGAACATGCGTGGCCACGCTGATGGGTGCGGGGCTCTATTCGACAACATTCTGCTGCCGCATAGAGCCTCGCATCCATCAGCGTGCACACGCTTGTTCAGGAATTGACAAGTGGACGTTTGAGCGTGCCATCTGATAGGGGCGAGTGGTCGCCAATGGAACGAGATCCGCAAACGCACCCCGAGGTAAGTTCGGGAAAGAAACAGGCCAATGCATAAGACGAACGAAATAGAGGCACTGAAAAAAAACTAACGACAGGGACGAAGATTGTGGTTGAATACGATGGCACACACGTCCACGTGTCAAGTCCTGATCATGCGTGGCCACGCTGATGGGTGCGAGGCTCTATTCGACAACATTCTGTTGCCGCATAGAGCCTCGCATCCATCAGCGTGCCCACGCTTGTTCATGACCTTACACGTGAACGTGTGAGTGTGCTGTCTGATCGGGGCGAGTGGTCGCGAATGGAACAAGATTCGCGAAAGCAGGCCAACGCAAAAGACGAACGACATAGAGGCACTAATAGAAAACTAACGACGGGGACGATGATGGTAGTGAAACACGACGACAGAACATATGCAATTGCCTTTTCTTCTTCGCTTACGTTTTGCGGTCGTGTTCCTCTCAAGTCTTCGTCTTCGTCGTTAGTTAATATTCTTTTTGTTGGTGCTGTCTCGTTCGTTTGTCTGCGCTTGTAAGTTTCGTTCGCAAACTTTGTGCGAACGACACAGACAAGCGCAGTAACGCGAACGAGATAAAAGACAGAAAGAGAGATAAATAGATAGATAGAGAGAGAGAGCGACAAAGAGGCGATCTTCGTCTTCATCACACTGCCCAATCAAACGTCACGATCAAATGGCCCCGAACCTCACACCAATCACACATCGGACTCACGGAGAGAGATCTCTGTTAGATCACACGACACTGCTCGTTCGTGGCGACTGAACCCAATGTAATCGCCACCGCACGAATCCCGACTACAGATCACGTACATGTGTGGGCACTCTGACGGATGCGGGGCTCTACGCAAACCCAGCATGGCA